CGTGGGCGGCTGCATAATTTACTTCGCATCCCGTTCCTACCCAACCCTGCTGGGAGATGTTCTATCCAATTTCTGGGCAGCACCACATGGAACTCTCTACCCGATGCTACCCGCTCTCTAACAAACCTTGTTCATTTCAGAAAATCTCTTTCAGATCTTGATCTCACTTCACTCCATTAGCTATTGTCGCACTCAGGGGCGTCACACACGGTACGACCACTATGCCCATAGTCGTACCACTTTCCGCCTAGGATGGTCCGCCCAATTTATAATAAACAGATGCAAGGATCTTCGGACTTGTACAAAACATCACAACTTTCATTGCAAGGGGCTTGCAATTATTTTGGTTCAGACTTGATGCCTAGAAGCTAGCAGCCTAAGACTCCAGGCGGCTATCCATTGCGATAGGCGGTTGGAGTCACGGGTAGAGACAACCAGATGATGGATTCCTCAGGGACGCATTCACTGCAAACTTGACGGAAACAGTGCTGGCGGCGATCACAGGGGTCCAGATCTAAAAAATTTCCAAGATCTACCTTGTTACAATGGCGATTAGCACGGTCAAGAGACACGTGATGACGTCAAAATGGCCAGGGAGTAGTAAGTTGACATCAGATTTCTATTTTTGGATCCACTAAGGTGTGACTTTGCTATTGCCTAAGTATGTGTGATTGTGGGTGCATAGCAACCCACTCTTGTCGCAGGCAGGTGTGACTTTGATTTCGCCACCAGTTGTAACCCCGCCCCCAGTAGCCAAATCAGTCACTTTCACTGGCTACATCACCATGCTGTGGGTAAGACCACTTGAAATGTGCTTGGATCCATACAAAAACTGGATTCAAGTGGATCCAGTTTTTGAATTTTTGAAATTGTTGCTATGCTGTGACGTAGCACTTTCAAGCCTTATAGGTGCTAGGGGAACCCTCCTTTGCGTCTCTAGAGTGCTAAAACGTGCCCTGTTGACCGAAAAATCCGAATTTTTTTCCGGGAGACACCCCAGACCCCCGGTCGTACCACTCCCAACCGCCCTGTGACGCCCCTGACACTATTATGTTCTGTCCCCTGTCCATCATCTATATTATCTACATGTACCGTTACTGTGAGAGAGTGAGTCTGTGCACAAATATTATGTATGATTACGCGTCTGCGTGAATGTGCACGTGTGTGTCTGTGTGTACGTGTGTGTGTGTGTGTGTGTGTCTGTGTGTGTGTGTGTGTGTGTGTGTGGTGTGTGTGTGGTGTGTGTATGTGTGTGCGTGTGTGTGTGTGGTGTGTGTATGTGTGTGTGTGTGTGTGTGCGTGCGTGTGTGCGTGCGAGCATGTGTGTGTGTGTGTGTGCGCGCGCGTGTGTGGGTGTGGGGGTGGGTGCACATGGTTGGTATGTGGTGTTTATGTGAGCGTATGATAATAATCTCTTCAATAATATTAATATCTTTATTTCAAGATTACCCAACGCCGGCGAACGCCCTATCAGGTTGATCTCCTATTTGAACATGCGCATATGTGTGTGTATGATGTGCCCTAGCTCACTTATAATATTATTATTATTAAGTTATAAACGTAGATCATGTCCATGATGCCTTTCCTCTTCGCAGGTCCACCGCACTATTGTTTTTAAGATTAACATCATTATTACTTCTGCATATGCATTACATACTATGATCATGCTGGCTTCATCCCTTATCTCCTAAGCTACCAGCCCCCCCCCCCCCCCCCCCCCCCGTGCGTCTGCCAAGTGTTGACTCCGAGACCCACCGTCGGACGAGCTGTCCAGGCCTCACCACCACTGCCGTTTCCGTGCTGCCTTCTCGATACATACGTATGTACACTGTATATCATGTGCACATTCACATGTCTGAAGGTTTGTGGTTTTTCAATAAAAAATAAAAAAATAAAAAAATAAAAAATGTACAACCACAACACACATATAATACACTGCTGCATGTTATTTTTTATAATTGTCCTGCTGAAAGTTCTCTGGAAACAAGTTTCTATACCTCCGATGGGAGACGTGGATTTCGACATGTCCAGGTCAAACTCTAGAATATCACATCGAGTGTATTGCTTTATCACAGAGAAGAGATGTTTGCGCTCTTGGGACCCGAAGTTCCGTTTCCATAGGACGCTATTTAGGATCACTGCCCTAGCGCCTTTTCAGGAGGTGAATTTCGGTGTTTCTCGTCGGGTCGCAGCGTCGCAGACTATACTATAATCTTCAGCGTCAGAAAACTACTGCCCAAGTGAAATTACAAGACCGTGAGATGTTTTCGTCTTCCTCTGTGAGCGAATTTGTTTTGCACCAGCACACCTATGCAATATCGTGCGCACCTGGAGCTTCACGAGGTGTTTGGCGCGCTGGAAACAAAGCGTCTCTGTAAGTTTGTATCCCTGGTGATGGTTTGGCCTGGAGAGCAGTATATAAGTGTTGCTTTTCAGGCACAATCTTCCTCAGCCTACTCAAGCTCAACTGATGACGGATGAATTCCCCGAAACACTGTGTATTGAGCAGGGAGTGGTGCTTTCTTCCAGGTTTGCCGAGTGGAAGGTGCGACGTGGTCCTCGTGTACTCAGTCGTGAGTCAGTCAAGTGTCACGTGTCGGCAAGAAGCGTGTGTTCCTCGTTGGAGCAATCAACTTTTTAAATAAAGTCCAGAATATATCTTCGGCTTTTTTCCTTTCCATTGCATGGCAGTTTTTGATACAGCCTAGTTTCAATGAGCTTGCCGTTTATATCAAACGTGAGTGTTTCCTGAGAGTCGTTGGACGGCATCATTGGAGAAACTGCCAAACGTTTGGTTTCCATCCATGTACTAGCATGTCGTGGAAACATCTATCATTGTTTATGCTATGCACGAGTTGCTTGTGTTCTGCTAGCACTGACGAGGATTATACTGCTCACCCTGATGTACTCTCTTCATTCAAGGGCATAGACAAGGGCTACAACTTTTTTCGAACCTGGACATGTCAAACTATCGAGCTGGCAAAGGTAAGTAGTGATATCGTGTTCGTTCATTGCAACACACTACTTTCAATGAAGAATACCACATCGACCAAAACAAAAGTATAGTCTTATAGAAAACTGGCTAGGAGAATGTTGGTGAGTCTAAAAAAAGGCGAACCACCATTTTGAAAAAAATGGCGATGACCAGAGTTTGTGTAGTCATAGCGGCTACGCAACCGAGTTCTTGCTGATCGATGTCCAGCGTTAGCGATGTACAGTTGAGTCGTAAAATACCGGTACAGTGTACTTTTCGACTCCCTGGTCTATTCTGTACAGCGAAGGGCCAGTGCGGAAGAGAATCTTGTTGTTTGATGCCGGGAAAGACACGCGGAGAAGTTGTCCTTTCTCCAAGCCATCTTGGTCATTTTTCTCAATCCGCGGTGCATGTCGACCAAGATATGTCCGTGACGAACTGGTGAACTGGATACCTGGCATCCACAAGATTTTCCCGCGCCTAGCGAACCAATGTTGCCAGTAGAACTCAGAGTTTCCTGATCGCGACTCGGCACACTCTTTCTGTTTGAACTCGCAGCTTTCACCCTGCGAGTGTGGTGTTTTTGTTGGTGGGCGCGGGAACGCACAGACAACCTTGATGTCTTAGAATAGAATGACAGTGGTTCTACTTGGCCGTTTCTCACCGTCGATAGCTCATTTTCTCTGTCTTGGAATATTCTATCATTTAGCGTCACCGATTATATTCTCTTCATTCACTTGGTCGCACGTCTTCGTGTTTGAGTGATTTCACCATCCGATCTCAGCCAAACGAAGGCCAAATCGAAAAGTCGAGACAGTAACGCTCCCAAGACACACCGTCTGGGCACAAATCCACAATGGCCTTATGTCTAAAACCAATGAATACAGACAAGTTAAGCTCAGAAAACAGCCAACAATTGCAAGAAACGTCCCATTTTGCCGTGCGCTGATTGGTCAAATCCAAAGGACCGTTAGTGACGCCTTGTACGGTCGTGGTGAGCCCTGACATTGAACATGGCTAGCCCCTACACTGGATACAAACATATCAATGTCTGCACCAGAGCCGGGTCAGTGGGGTTAGAGACCTGGTTGGGGGGGGGGGGGGGGTGGGGGGGGGGGGTGTACTTGGACGCGTTTAGACAAAGAACGTCTAGTCAGTTGTTATTTTTTCTTTTTTTTTCTACAAAATCCACATATCTCCAGACACTGGGGTGAATGATGGAGTGTGGTGGTGGGGCCCATTAAGCTCCGCCGACCAGAGGTCTCGGCTTCATAGCTCCATGAACGCTCCAAAGGGAGATTGGGTAGGGAGGATTAAATTGAAAAAGAAAACAGACGAAAGAAAATGGAAAGATTGTATTGCGCAGTGAGCAAAAGAATAAGTTGAGTATTGATGTGAACGCTGTTAGACTTTTAAATTCAAGAGGAGACTGTCTGTGAGGAGAGATTACATGTATGTCCAAGCAGGGTAGGACACTGTACCCTCTTACTCGCGTATGCTATGAGTGGCCCAGTGCCAGTTCGTTCTGAGGAGGTGGTGATAAGCTGCTGTGTAGTTGTGACTCTGTTGGGACTATATCTGCTACATATACATGGGGCAGTTCTAAAATATTGATGACATTACGCTCTGCCTCCGCGGTGTTGAGCACTGTCAGCACACTGGGGACACCCTCCGCGGTGTTGAGCACTGTCAGCACACTGGGGACACCCTCCGCGGTGTTGAGCACTGTCAGCACACTGGGGACACCCTCCGCGGTGTTGAGCACTGTCAGCACACTGGGGACACCCTCCGCGGTGTTGAGCACTGTCAGCACACTGGGGACACCCTCCGGTTATGGATCACTGATGTACATGTTTGTGCAGTAGCCGCACTTGAACGTACCTTTGTCTTTGACCCGGTGGGTGCAGTTATGGCAGGTGCATGTGTGCCTAGGTGGTTGGAAATCCTAGAGCAGACACTGCATATGGGTAGTTAGGTGGTTGGAAATCCTAGAGCAGACACTGCAGATGGGTAGTTAGGTACTTACATTGCCAGAAGAAGTAGCCCTGCAGAGCGCAACTGGAAACTCTATGCCGGCTGCAATTCCATCGTTTGTTACCCCTGCATTCCACACTGGTGTATTGGACATAAATTTCCACTACTCCCTCTTCCTGCTTTGGAGCCTGTAAACACCACACAGGACACAGGAAGTAAGATATGAAAAACAAATGTCGATATTTTAGCTGAACTTGTAGCTCTTTGTCCTCTTTTCTTCTTATAAATTAATCCTTGGCGCAGTCCTGCCAAATATAAATATTTACAAGCCAATTCATTTGAGGGACGTGCAAACAGGAAACATACACCCCGCCACCTACGCGGACATGCTTATAATAATAATAATAAGCTGGGCTGCGCATTACTTTCAACCGTAGTGGACATTCGAATTTTCACGTCGGTCGATTGCAAACTCGTCATACTTTGTATTATTTCCTGAACAATACCACCGCTGACATTGACGCGTTAGGGCCTGGTCAGACTGCGGCAAAATCGAAATAATTCTAGGATTATAATCCGAATCTCCATAGTAACTTGCCGCCAGAGCGGCAAAAGCGAGAGTTGACGCTCCAAAAAAAAAGCAAGAACGGACCACGCTTTTCCGCTCCAAACAGGATTTGACGCTGATACGCCATTGACGCTGATAATCACTGATTTTTTCATCTCGATATCGAGGAGCTAATTGGCCACGGACAACAACAAAACTCATAAGGATGGTTGCAAGGATTGCACTGAAGGTGTTGGCGATCTCCAAGGTGAAGGAATTTGACGTCGTTCGTGGAGATTACCACTTGACGCTCGAAATGAAGTTTGAATTTTCACTCTCCCCATATGTGTAGTGTGATCGCGATTCAAATTCTGAACGCTGTTCTTTTTTCGTCAGGCAACCAAAATTTGCCGCAGTCTGACCAGGCCCTAAGTGCATAATAATAATAATAAACAATCTGCAGCATAGAAAAGTAGTAAATTATCCCTCACAGTCAATAATGTGCTTGGAACAAAACATTTGCCTACAGAGGATGGATAGGCCAGTATTTTAGTAGAGGGTTGTACCTTGATCACTCAAATAGCGTTGAAGCTGCAGCGTAAAAACGTGAGGCTGATTCATCGTCGTGACAAACGGTACGTTTTTAGGCCAAATATTGCGAGCGTACACATTCCACCTTGTATCGCGTATATGGCGCCATAAATGGTTGTACCGCACGAGCGAGAGAGCTTGGAAGCTCAGGGCCCTACACTATGCTTTTTTGCCTTGATGACCTCGGCAAAAAAAGCAAAGGGATGATATAAAATTTTCAATTCTCCTATATTTTTAAGGCATAACCTGGGATTCGAACCTGCACTATCGCCATACATGCATTCCCCGATACACTTCGCATTCATACTCATTCTTCCAAGTTGCTTCACGTTATGATCTTGCATTTGAAAGCCCTATTTGAAAATTGTGGCCAGCTGTTGTGAGGCCAGGCGTGACACAAACAAACAAATAAACAAACAACGAAATAAAGCTGTGTGGACCCTGGCTAGCGCCAGACGTTACTGAAGTAACGTCTTCTGCATAGCTACGGGAAAGAAAAGCTTTACTCATGGCAACAGTGTACTAAAATTAGCGTGCATCTTACTAAAGGTCAAACCCAAATCTCGGTGTTTTCCCACTACGGTACTATCGTTGCAACATAACGTTTTTTTGCTAAGGGTGTCTATTGTTATAGCACAGGAACCCCTAAGCACACTTACGAGGATCACATTATGCCATGGTCATGAAAGAAGAATGTCACGAAATATTCTTACCTTGACATTGATTGCCGCTAAAGCTGAGCTCAGGCGGACAGAGTTGATCACCTCCAGTTGGCTTGGTGGATCTGCTCAGACAGCATCATCAAAAAACATCACATAGCGCATCGAACAGGACCTGATGGTCAGAAACGTCAAATTCGTCAAGAAGTGTTTTCTAGTCATGGGGCGGAGATGCTACAAGACTATACTATACAAAGTTTTTTTTATTAATTTTTTTATTTTTTTTTTTTTACTACGTTCACATAACCAGCTCGAAAAGAATAAGGAAAGACAATGGTACGGAGACTAGGACAAACGTGACAACTTATTAACCACTCAATCCGACAGTTCCTGGAGGCGCACAACATCTTATCGAAAAGTCAGTATGGCTTCCGCAGCCAACTCGGCACCCAGGACATACTCACGCTACTCAACTACCAATGGAGTCGCGTTGCAGCCAGAGGTGGTGTACTTCGAGTCATTGCAGTTGATGTGGCTGGCGCATTCGACCGCGTCTCTCATGTAGGCGTTTTGCACAAGGCACAATGCTATGGTGTAACTGGTCCACTTCTCGCTTGGCTGAGGGATTACCTGACTGATCGTCACTTGAGGGTTGCAGTTGGAGGTGAACTTTCCAGTCCGTACCCGACCAAAGCTGGCGTGCCGCAGGGCAGTATCCTTGGCCCCACCCTGTTCATCCTCTACACCAATGATGGCGAGGACCACCTCCCACCAGGTATGGAGCTAGCAGCCTACGCTGACGACACCACTCTCTTCCACTGCCTCACATCAAGAGCTGACATTGACTGTGGCTCCGAGCTCCTCCAGCAGGGCATTGATGCGTTTTCCCGTTGGGGACATAAGTGGAGGATCAAATTTGAGCCCTCCAAGACGCAGGCTATGTCTATAGGCCACCATCGCCAGCCCTGGGAGCTCCCTCGAGCAACATTTGACGGCACACCGGTCAGTGAAGAGAGTCGGCTGAAACTCCTGGGAGTCACCTTTGACGACACCCTGAGCTACTCCTTCCACCTCCGCTCCCTAGCTTCCCGTGCTAACCAGCGGATTGGCTTCCTGAAGCGAGCATCTCCCATTCTGGACGCCGAAAGCCGCCAACGCGTCTACAACGGCTTTGTGCGACCCACACTCGAGTATTGCCCCTTAGTGTGGATGGGCTCACCCTCGTCCCATCTTAAGAAGCTGGACCAGATCCAGCGAAGGGCCCTCCACATCATCGGAGCAGGCACTTGGCTCCCTAGCCTGGCACTCCGTCGCCTGGTAGCTGCACTTGCCTATACCTACAAGCTCTGCTATCTAGATGCATCCAGCCCTCTGAAGCAGATGCTGCCTAAACCAGCCACTCACCGTGCCCCCGAGACAAGACCTACCCGTCAGTCTCTCCAGCTGCAGGATTCCCATCCATACCAGATGACAACTGGCCTGCCTGCCAACACCCGGAATAGCTGTCTCCAAGGATTCCCTGCTTGCACCGTTGCAACATGGAATGCCCTGCCACCAGACCTGTTCCACCACCCACCCGCCCAGCCTCACATGCAAAGCTTTAAGAAAAAGGTGTACCGTCACCTTCTTGCTCAGGACTGGCTCTCTGCTACTGATGCACTTTTGAATCTGCTCGCCAACGCTTTCCCTGTTCTTATTAGTGTTCAACTGCTTACCTTATAACCCTGCTGTCATCATCACCAATGTTCTGATTCTCATGCACATATCCCAGAACCTGCTATCCTTCGCAGTCCCCATCACCAAGAGCACTGTGCTCTTCTATCTCCCAGCTCTCTCTCTCTCTCTCTCTCTCTCTCTCTCTCTCTCTCGCCCTCGCTCTCTCGCTCTCTCTCTCTCTCTCTCTCTCTCTCTCTCGCTCTCTCTCTCTCTCTCTCTCTCTCTCTCTCTCTCTCTCTCTCTCGCTCTCTCTCGCTCCCAGCTCTCTCTCTCTCTCTCTCTCGCTCTCTCTCGCTCTCTCTCTCTCTCTCTCTCTCTCTCTCTCTCTCTCTCTCTCTCTCTCTCTCTCTCTCTCTCTCGCTCTCTCTCGCTCTCTCTCGCTCTCTCTCGCTCTCTCTCGCTCTCTCTCGCTCTCTCTCGCTCTCTCTCTCTCTCTCTCTCTCTCTCTCTCTCTCTCTCTCTCTCTCTCTCTCTCTCTCTCTCTCTCTCTCTCTCTCTCCTCTCTCTCCTCTCTCTCTCTCTCTCTCTCTCTCTCTCTCTCTCTCTCTCTTTCTTTCTTCTCTTCTTCTTCCCCCATCTCCCGATAATTATTAGCCCCCGTTTTCTTTCGACGCGTTTGCTGTGCAGTGAAGCCGAGACCCTAGGTCGGTGGAGCACATCAGACCCCGTCACCACGTCCACGATTCATGCCTGCGATGCTGCACCGCTGCTTTGCATGTCATGATTGGAAGCTGTGGCCTTAGTAAAAAAAAAAAACTAATGAGCAGGCGCTGCACCGAGACGCAGCAGTGATGGTGGGGCATTGATGACTCTGCCGACCTGAGGTCTCGGCGTCACGGCCAAAAACACGCACCAAAAACAATGAAAAAAGAAGAAGATAGAGCTGTACAGGTGAGAAAGGTGCAAAAACCCAAGGCTTAACACGAGCGATTGTGGGGGAGAAACTGTCTTAGCGTCATACTATTCATAGGGAATCGACTGCCCAGAGCCAGTTTGTGCTGCGAAGATGGCGGTAAACATTCGTTTTGAATGATTGCATTCTCTTGCTGTGGGGAGGCTGGGATAGGAGAGCGGCAGGGAAGGAGTTCCAATCCCTGATGCTGCAGTGTGGGAACGAGCGCTTCAGTGCCAGCGGGGCAGATGCAGGCAGCTGGTGTTGGAGTTGGTGGTCATGGCCTCTGACAGCACCGTGCTCGCTGCGAGTTCTGGGGTTGGTAGAGATGATGTGGCGCGGTGGCAACACAGAGAGCAGCTGCGGAGGACCAGGCAAGTAGTGCAGCTTGTACAGGCAGGCAAGCGAGGCAACAGTGCGGCGGATGGCCAGGCTGGGTAGGTGTGCCCCAGGGCCGATAGCATGAAGCGCGCGGCGCTGAACATTGTTCAGACGCTGGAGGTGACTCTGCGCAGCTCCCATCCATACAAGAGGCGCATACTCCATGACTGGTCGTACGAACGCCTTGTATACGGTCGTCCGGCCGGCGGGGGTGAGTATGTGGGCGGCTCTGTTTAGGACCCCAAGCCGTTGGCGTGCACGGGTGGCTACGGAGCGTAGGTGATCGCTGAAGGTCAACTTGGCGTCCACCTTCACACCAAGGAGAGTGATGGTGGTTGTCTCGGGCACCAGTGTGCCACCAAACAGGAGTGGGGGGAGATCTAAGCCGGTACGTCTGAGGGTGGCTGTCATGGCCTGGGATTTGGTCGGTTCAAACATCACTTTCCATGTACGACCCCACTCGTGCAGTCGGTCAACGGACACCTGCAGTGACTGCGCGGCCACTGTTGGGGTCTGCTGGGAGGTGACTAAGCTGTACAAAGTTGTATCATCAGCATAGGCTTCCAAGCTGGCGCCGTCAGCGAGAACATCTGGCGCGTCGTTGACGTAGGCCAGGAAAAGCGTTGGTCCAAGGATGCTTCCCTGGGGGACTCCAGTGGAGGTCGTATACCTAGATGACGTCCGCCCTCCAACGAGGCACTGTAGGGAACGGGTGTCCAGGTATGACGCCAGCCATCTCTGAAGCGGACCATCTATGCCTAGGCTACGTACCTTGTGGAGGAGGCCGACATGCGAGACACGATCAAACGCTCCTGCGATGTCCACAGCAAGGATACGAGAAAGTTGGCGGATTAATAAAAGGGGAAGTTCACCCTAAAATGAAAACTTCACAACCTGTCGGGAAACTTCACAGAATTGAATGGTGGTCCCGTGGAGGTCCTTGGTTGATCGGAGTTCCCTAGGTACAGTAAAACCTGGTTTAAGCGACCACCCCACGGTGCAAGCAAAAACAGTTGTTAAAGCCAGGTGGTCTTTAGAACCAGGTCCCACAGTGTGTGTGTAGAACTGTCGGTGCATGGAAAAACGGTCGTTAAGAGCAGGTGGTCGTTAAACACAGAGGTCGTTAAACACAGTGGTCGTTAAACACAGAGGTCGCTAACGCCAAGTTTTACTGTATACCAGTTTGAAGTTTGCACTAAATTTGGTGACATCATGATGACATCATTAACTTGCCCAGACCGGATTTATGATTTCAGAGAGATAGACATAGTATGGGAGTAGATGGGGAAATTTCAGTATTTGGCTCTCCATTGTCACAAAGAAGTTGGATGTTTTTTAAACTTCGGCATGGGGAATATGGCACTTTACCAGTATCCTGACTGGAAAACAATTCTAGTATGAAATTCATTATTGCAGAGAAACAGGAAGGTGTTATTTTCCGTGGCTGAGCGTAGCGAATGAAATGAAAAATGTATTTTTTCCAGCATCTTCATCGTAGTTACGGCACCAGGATTGCGTCAGCTGGTCTTTTGTCAGTGTTCTCAAACTTTTCTCTTCATCGCGGTCTTTCTCTTTTCGTTGTAGTTTCCCACCCGCCCTCCTCTTTATTCTCACTTCGGGATAGGTCCTAGTTTTGTTCATTTATCTTATGGGGTTATTCTAACCGGTTTTTCCTCAGGGTGGTGCCTCCGCCGGGGTCCTGAGGTATTTTCCGCCAGCTTCAGGCTGGTTAATTGTCCGGCGGCCCCATTCACCACAGTGGTTCACTTTTTGCATTATGTTGGTCTGGTACATACGTGTACATGTATATGCATGAGGTGGCATGCCCTTCTTCTTGCTCATGTATACACTACGCTGAGCTCTTCCATCTTCCACCGTGAGTGAACAAAGACCACACTACTACTGTGATCTGTATCTTTCTGTTGTGTGTGGGTGTGTCTGCGGTGTACGCAGAGGCCAGCTAGCTGGCAAAAAGTAGTTGATTTTTCCCCATCTACTCCTATACAAAGTCTATATCTCTGACATCATAAACCCGGCCTAGTCTGGGCAAGTTAATGACGTCATCATTATGTCACCTATTTTCGTGCAAACTTCAAGCTGGTATAACTTGGGAATGGCTGCTCTGATCAACCGGGGACTGTCACTATTGGAATCAGTGCATTTTTTGCTAAAGGTTGTGAAGTTTCATTTTAGGGTGAACTTCCCCTTCAAGAGTCACGGGAAAGTGAGCAGATCCGGGGCTACTTAATGCTGTGTGAAAAATTGGAGAACCACTGAACCTTACACAAGCATAATTCTCCTTTCGGGTTGCTAGCGTTTTTCTTCAATCTTTTCACACATGGTCTGACGTCAAAGTAATTACTGGTTACATGCAAATATTTTTTCTCTGTTTCCAGCCTGAGAATGGGTCTTGTCCGAACATTTGTTGAAAGGTGGATGACGTTTGCAGCAAAGAGACCATATTTTGATTGTTTGTGTTCAGATATCCTAATGTGTAATGTGTAAACGGCTGTACTGGGGTCTGTGAGTGATTAGAAAAATGTACAATCTCATCACAAACTACTCTACCTATGATAATTCGCGGTTTCTCCGTTGTGTTGGATGCACTGGATGAGTTCTCTGTTGTGTTTGAGGGGCTGGATGGGCTGGACGAGGTCTCCGTTGGGCTTGAGGTGCTGGATGGACTGGACGAGGTCTCCGTTGGGCTTGAGGTGCTGGATGGACTGGATGAGGTCCCATCATCAGACCTGCTGCCATTGGCGCTAATCACCATATGCGAGTGGGGTCCTGCCTGGCCTTTGTTGTTTATTGCGCGGATGAAAACATGGTACGAACGTCCCGCACAGAGGTCAATCAAAATCACAGGTAGACTGCTCTCGTTCACAACTTAACAGGGCAGAACACAGAGCAAATAACAAAGAGAGCATGGAGTAAGCATGACATCATAATGACCTCATCAGGATTCAAAGCTCATGCACATGTAGAACCCACGATCTCATAATGACACCATTCTGCATGGGGCGCACAATAGAGCATAAATCAGGCAACATGACATAATGATCTCATTGATTAAGTGCTTGTGCAGTCATTTAGAAGCCATAACCTCATAATGACATCATGTATGGAGGAGACAAAGGCCACGCTCGTTCTTTGAATAGTCTACTTGGAGATAATAACCGAAAATAGTCACGGAAGGAGACGAAATGACAGACCCACCAGAACTCGAACCTGGAACCTTGCTTGGCATGCGCAATGCTCTAACCAACTGATCCATGAGAGCAAACCGAACCCGGGAGGCGAGGACAAGTTGTCTACTCCAAGAGGCAGCTCACAACACGTACCACACATACTGATGACATTAGTGTCTTTTTCCTCCCCCAGGGGATGATCAACGGTCAGTTTCTAGAACGTAACACCAGAGGTGAAAAAAAGTGATTACTCTTTTAAAGACAAGCAAGGTCCCCGGTTTCGAGTCCTGTTGGGTCTGGCATTCTCTTCTTCTCTTTTCAGGCAGTTCGCTTCCCCGATTGATCCTTTTAATTTGAAGTTCTCCCACTCCAAATAGTAATGAACAAAATTAAACTCACGCTCAACGCGCTCACGCCAAACAACAAACGTTATGGAACAAAACATTTGCTACTTTGTTGTTGGACATGGTCGCGTGTTTAATTCTGTTCAATTCTTCGAACGAGTTTTTGTAAAATCCGGAAGTGCACGAAGACCAGCAACAAGCTTCAGTGACAATGGTCTAGTAGTATTGACATATCCGCGGCAAGCCGCCTATGTACAACGGCATGGGAGAGGATAGCAAAAAATATATTGTTGGGGAAATCCACGTTATTATCGAATATACAACAATGACGGGTGTGGGAGTATGTGGAAGTACGTTATTATTGTTGAAAGCACTAGGTGATCTGCAGTCTACAATAGTCAAGCCAAACAATTTTCAATTTAACCCTTTGGTAAATGACTTAGTATAAGTCGCTTTGGAGGATATGCCGCAACAAGACTGTCACGAAATACCCTTCAGGTATGGAACAAATGGGGACACTCCGATGGTCAATAGGATAAAGAATAATAATTTCACTAATACCAGTAGTCAAAGTGAAATTGCACCATTGCATTGAACGCGGTGGGTGGAGTTGTGCCAGGTGCATATGTACCTAGGTGGTTTGGTTGGCTAGAGCAGACACTGCATATGGGTACTTACATCGCCAGGAGAGGAAGCTTGTTAGAGCACAATTGGCAACTCCAGGCCTGCTGCAAGCCCATCGGTTGATAGTACTAGAACAGCATTCCAAACTGGAGTAGGAGATAAAATATTCCAGTACTTGCTCCTCTTGCTTTGGAGCCTGAAAACACCAAACAGGACACAGGAAGCAAACATGTGCAAACAAGTGTTTACAGGCTAAATTCTAAGGGAAGGGTGGAAACAGAAAAAAGTATTTTACAAGCTCAGCTGCTTATTACTTGAAAACACTGATTGGCATTGCTCTATTGCAACCTCATCATACTTTGTATAATTTCACAAACAATCCGCAGTATAGAAAAATAGTTAATTACCCCGCACACTGTAGATTGGGAAACGTTTGCTCGAGATTAAACTTTGCTATTTTGCGACAATCACACATCCGCGAATATAAATCGCCGCAAACTGCTCTGTACTTTGATTGTAGACAATGCAAGATTCAACTGATTAGACGAAAAAAGGAACCAGCGCAAACCTTGAAAAAGCAAAATTTGCACGGCGAGAAAGTTTATCGCTTTGTAGTAGTCAATAATGCCCAGGGAACAAAGCATTTGCTTGCAGAGGATGAAAAGGTCAATATTTGTAGTATAAGGTTGATATCAACTTGTTGCAATCAATACAAATGCATCTGCAGACTATTCTAGGGTACTCGTGTCGAGCAAAACTAGCAGGCTCCCGCAAGAACCAATTCTCTTCGATCTCCTTGAAACCGAAATCAAATTCAGTTTTTTATTCAATCCATATTGATATGTTGTTTTCCTGTGTGATGGCATTCCCCAAACTGTCTTCGTCTAGTCGCGTGCCTATGTGACATGAGCATGCGCGATCTTGTAGTCGAGAGTCCTTTTGTCAGTCTTCTTGCTCGTCTCTTTGAGTGTAGTCTGCTTTTCCAGCATGTCGTAGTCCCTGGTTTCCGTAATGTCAATTACAATAATGTAGGGCTGAAACAATAATACCGATAACTCGCATATCGATCGTTAAGAGTGCAATCGATAATTGTTAGTGTTGAAAACGAGTGCTAACGATTTATTATGCATGCATATCAGTGACAGTATTCTAGCCCTTGCACTCCATCCGATAGTGAATACGAGTACAATCATGTACTTCCAAACGCGGTAAAATTGATTTGTGGCTTTGAAAGAGATCGGGAGAGAAGACTTTGTGTCTTTCATTTGTGTGAGAGGTTGGAGACAAGAGCAGTTGCCAGAGGGTAATGACAAGATATTTTGCTCTAGAAACAACATGAAATTCGCTAGTTCATGTTGATAAAGCCAGCCAGATTTCCACAGATGTCCACATTGCGGTGCCACAAATTTCTAATGTACCCAAGGTATCATGGAATTTCTTCATAAACTGGTGTGCGATGTACACGTGTAGAGCCGACAAGAATCGATAAAACCAATATATCGATCGTTAATGATATTGAATGATCGTTTCAGCCCTACAATGATGTAACAACCAAGTATTGTCCTTGGTGTTCTGTGTCCCGGAGAACGGAATGGCTGTGATTGAGTTACAACCCTCTGTGTAAACTGCAGGTATATCCACTCAATCTTTGATCTATTAGCTCGTTCAGCAGCATAATTTCTCTGTTCTTCATGCTAGGAAAATGTCCTGCCAACCTGGCGTTTTAAAACTCAGTCTATGTCCTTCCTAGCTTAATTTTACTCATTAAGTTTTCCTCATGGGCCTGGGCAGTGTGAAAACAGAACAATACTCAATCCCGGCACAGGCAGTCATTTTGACTGCTTTGGGTCTATTCAGCAGAGATCAGGGTGACTTGCCGAACAGATCACACTGAGAAAGGAAAAAAGAAAGGCACATATGGATACGAGTTATGAGGAACTGCTGTCCACCACTGTAACTAGATACTATATACAGTCAGAAATTGCAACAACTAGGCACAAAACTGTCAAGAGTACTGAGATATTCGACGACCTGACACCTAGCTCTCACACATCTCCGAAGCGCCAACCAACAGCGTTCGGAAGGTTCAAGGTTAAGGAGAGACCTGTGCTGGAGCTAGGTGTCAGGTCGTCGAATGCCTCAGTACTCTTGACAGCTTTGTGCCTAGTTGTTGCACTTTATGACCGTATATGGCATCTAGTTAGAGTGGTGGACAGTTACTCTTACTCTCGTATCAATACGTTCCTTTTTTTCTCTATAGTATTGTCTCAACATCTGAGTTTCAGATCACACTGAAGTCGAATTAAGATCAATTTAACCAAGCATGTTTACACAGCGTCAAAGTTCACAGCCATTTGTGATGATTAAAAAAGAGTGCGCCATGTTCTTTGCCAATACTGTCCAATAAAGCCAGGCATGAATGTGGGGCACACTGTTCAGTAGCAACTCTGCCTTTCACTGGAATTCGCGATCTCAGTTGCAATGCCTGATAGTCATGTGAGGCAAAGCTCAGAATAGCAACAGAACTGCCGCTCTCCATAATTCCGGTTGCATTGTCTGATGGACACAAGATGTTGTGAGACTTAGAGATGCTATAGAAGTCCCAGTCTGCTTGCTGTTCCATGCTCATATCAACCTATCGAGTTAACTATTGCAGCTGATCAGTCCACATCCATGCAACTGCCATTTGCAATAGAACTGAACTGCCAGCCATGGCAACTAGAGCGGACAACATGAGCGAGAGAGAGAGAGAGAGAGAGAGAGAGAGAGAGAGAGAGAGAGAGAGGGGGAGAGAGAGAGAGAGAGAGAGAGAGAGAGAGAGAGAGATGAATCCCCGAGCGCCAAGAGTACAATTTATCTCCTCTAGTTTTCCGTACAGCACAGAAACCCCCCTATTCACATCTACGAGCACCGCGCTATATTATGGTCAAGCATCAATAATTGCAGTAAAATATTCTTACCTTCAAATTGATTATCATTGAAGCTGAGCTTTGGCGGATCACCGAGAGGTCCTCTAGTGCGCTTGGTGGACCTGCTCAGACAAAATCATCACAAAACATCACATTGTACATCGCCCAGGACACGATGGTCAGAAACGTCACATTATGGTTACTCATTCGTGTCTAAGAAACACTGCATATCACACTAGATTGTTCTCCTTTAGGGTTGCTAACGGTTTTCGTCAATTTTTCCACAGATGGTCTCACGTTATAGTCAGCACTGTTTACATAAGATGAAGAATACAGAAATCAACAAAGTACACTAAATCACCCTGAGCATGCAACTTTTCGGTCTACGATAGAAAAATTCACATACTTTAAAGGAAAAAACGTCCGCGGCTTGCATATGTCACATTTTCAATAATTTTACTTGATCATGATGAGAAACTTTCACGGTTTCATCTATTCCGTGGGATTTTGTATTGTCTACAAACAATGTACAGAGCAGTTTGCGTCGGTTTATATTCGCGGATGTGTGACGGTCACGAAAAAAGCGAAAATTAACCTCTAGCAAAAGTTTCCTACTTAACAGTAACATTTCAAACCATTGCACACTGCCTGTACCATCGACACATGTGTATTGGTGTGTGACATCATTCTGCCTTGGATAGAACTCTCCCGTGCTCACATTGCACTGTTTACAAAGCATCATATTGAGTGATGTCATGTCATGTGTTAAGGATGCAGACAGCTTCACAAACTAGGGGATAATAGAATGTACTCTCGAAATCATTCGTCATTATCACCAGTCTGCAGTCTATTTTGTGAATACGAATAATTACTCATTTTTTTGGACATAGTGACCATTCAACAGCATACTATCAACCTTGCGAACAGCAAAACTTGCGAATAGCGACATTTTTTCTCATGCACAAGCAAGGGCCATTTTTCGCAAGGTTGTTTGCAGCTCTTGCCCTGCCTCCACTGCTTCGGCTACCATCCCTATGTGTATCCCTGTGCGTTTTTGCCGGCGTTTGCACCATGATGGTTTGTGGCTATTTTGTAAAAATAAAAAAATAAACTCGGATGTTGAGCTATAAATAAATGTAGAAAAGAAAAGGACATATGGATACGAGTTAAGAGTAACTCTCCATCACTGTAACTGGATACTATATAAAGTCAGAAAGTGCAATATCTAGGCACAAAACTACTCTGTCAGTTTATTGCCTAGTTATTGCACTTTCTGACTGTATATAATAGTATCCAGTTACAGTGATGGAGAGTTACTCTTAACTCGTATCCATATGTCCTTTTCTTTTCTACATATAAAAAAATAAAAAAGCATTATTGATGCACGACTTCAACGCATCGCCTACACCAACACTCAACGTGCTTGAACTGAGAAAGCAATTCTCTCTCCCCCCCCCCCCCCCCACACACACACACACAAGACCAACGAGTTCCCAGGCTGGGCAACACGTCAACATTGTTCCCAAACTCTCTGCCGCGTGACTTTGGTACCACACAGGATGAGGTCAAGTACAGAACGCAAGTAGAGAACCCTGCCAAGATGCCGTCATTACCTCACCTAAATATTGCTCATGCCAGCGCACCGTGTCCAGAATCCTGACTCAAGACCCATGCCTCTTCCTGGAACACAGGCACTCTCTGCCGCGTGACTTTGGTACCACACAGGATGAGGTCAAGTACAGAACGCAAGTAGAGAACCCTGCCAAGATGCCGTCATTACCTCACCTAAATATTGCTCATGCCAGCGCACCGTGTCCAGAATCCTGACTCAAGACCCATGCCTCTTCCTGGAACACAGGCACGGCTCGCGTTCACTGGTTGCCGTGCTTCCGCTTCACCACGTCGCGAATTTAGCCACGCAGACTTCAAAACTCGCTCCGGGAACGAGTGACGACTCATAACGTTTTACTTCAAGCAATTTACTTCGAAACGTCAGTACAGGATGTTCTTTAGGAGCAAGAACAAGTCTTGGAAATAACAATTTCCAGTTCTCTTGAAAAATATCATAATTATTTGACCAGAAGAAGTCAAATTGGAAATCAGTTCTCCGCTACAATGAAGAACGAAGAAGTAGCAGAAAACCTAGGCTCCTTCTCGTCGG